CTTTCTTTCTTTTTTTCTTTCTCCTGCACGTCTGATTGGGCCAGTTCTGCCAAAATTGTCACTAGTTTAACAATATATTTTGTTTGTTAGAAAAAATTGAGTATTGAATATACATTTGTTTTCAATAAATGAATAAACAAAAAATATATATAAATAAATACAATAATTAAACAACAAAAATAAATTATTATTATTACTATTACATGGCTCGTTTGAATAAAGGCTTTTTAACATTTTGCAATTAGATAAATAAATTAACTATGTTTGCTATAAAAGCCAATAGCTAAGTTTGAATAATTTTTTTAAACGTCCTATAATGTAATTTATGAATTTATAAACCTTCATTGAAAAAAAATGAATAAACAGTAAAATATTACTTTTGAAAAAAAATTATGATTTACTTTACAAAGAAGCAGCAACACATTGCATTAAACATGACATTTTGAAGTAGAAAGACTGATATAGTATTTTATTAAAAACTACTCAAAAAAAAAATCCAACTTCGAAAAAATCTTTTTTACAGTGCAAGACTGTCACAAATCATTCAAAACGTGTTAGCTAGCTGACAAGTGATAAGTGACAAGTGACGTATTAAAATCACCAGAATATTATGAAAAAAAAGCATTGCAAAGAATAAAAAAGAAACTTAAGATGTAGTTAAGAATCAGTACAGAACAAATGTTCTTTATGGTTCAATAAAGACCATTTAACATCCAGGGAATCTTTTCATTCCACAAAAGGTTCTTTCTAGATTATTTATTATCTGATTATTTCATACTATGTAACTAAAACTGGTAACTGAAAGCTTATTTAAGGAACCCAAAATGGTTCTTTTATGGCATCACTGCAAAAAACCCTTCATTTTTAATAGTGTAGGGTGATGCTGGTTCTGTCAAAGGGCCTGAAATACTTTCACACCCACCCTGGGCCATCAAGCAACCCTTGAATTGGCCATCAGTAGATCAAGATTGAGGAACAGTCCTTTGGCTGTTAACAAAAACCCATGATTCATAAAAGTTTTACAGGAGTAACCACCGAGAAACCACAAACTAACCACATAGCAGCTTCTAAGAAACCACTGACAAGCTATTAAAACCTGAAATGAAATCCCTTCCAAACTGGCCCTTGCCTCTAATGCCTCTCAGTGCTCAGAGCCGAGGGTTTTTGTGGGCAGAGGAATGCAACTCACATCTCTGCCATAGCCAGCCGAGAAGGTAATGCACTCACATGTTGGCACATGTTAAGGGAAGCGCACCTTGTCTCTTATTAATAAAGCTTGGCCTCCTCTCTCAAAACTGGCAGCTCGGTCTTTACCACTTCATGAATTACGCGGCGCACATCGCAACCGTCCTACACAGACACCTTTAAGACGTGACGATATAAAAGAGGAACTTAAAAAAAACATATCTCTAAAAGCAAACTTATATTACGCAAACGTTCACAATAAACACACCATCAAGCAAATGCACTGCTTTGAGAGAGATAGAAGCAGTGGTTTAGGTGTCATTCTAACAGATTAGAACAGGATCGAATGTCAAAGCTCAGCGCAGTATAAAAAACAGAAATCTGACAATGACAATGATGGCTTCCTCTCTGTCTAATCTAAACATACCAGCATGATCACTTATTTTCCCCTCGGGCTGTCGTATTATTCCACTTCCATTCTGAAAGCTCTCCACAAATAGTTGAAATGCTTCTTTGTTTTTTTTTGGGCTGTACCTAGACAGTGTGATAACATGTCGTTTTTGATGTACCTGACCTCTTACAGCGAAATGCACACAGAGCAGCTCTGAAAGAAAAGAGAAACAGCATGTAAACGAACACTTGACATGTTGGCAATAATACTCACACAAACAAACATAAGCAAATACACTAAAATGAGAGAAAACATAAGGCTGTGGTCAGCATAGGAGACTTATTTCAGAAACATGCATACAATGCAAATATTCCTAAAGTGAGCACTTACCCTCTGAGTGACGCACTGAATCCTACCTTGTTCAGTTGCTGGGAAATCGAGGCCACGTTCGCACCGACCCTGCTTCAGTGCAGATTCCAGTGTGATATTGCAGAATAATTAGTCCCTCCATCTCATACTTCAGGCATTCTTTTTTTCCATCGATGGGGAAAGGATTATGCAATGTGTTCCTCCAGAGGCCCATGCTACCTGAGAGAAAGTTCACGCCAGCACAGGCGTAGCCGGAGACTGTGGGAAAGTGAACAGTTCCACAAGCTCGCAATGTTAATGAAACAGTTAAGAGCTTAGTTTGCTACTAATGAACCAATGGAACATATGTTGCAGAGATGATAAATTAGGTTAGACTTTTCTGGTCAGCAAAAAAGAATGGACTGTAAAATGTTGTAAGGTATTGTTGTACTGCGTTTGTCCCCAAAAACCTTGTTAAAATGAAAAGCTGCCAGTAATCAAGAAGTCAAAAGAGTCTCAAAAGAGAGTGAGAGAGAGAAAAACCAGTTCAAAAAGTTTCAGTTCACCTCGCTTCTTCTCACATGAGGTGATGTGGTCTTCTACCGGTGCGTTGCAAAACCAAAAATCATAGGTCTATTCTGGTTTGATTGTGGAAAAACAATGGTTAAATCCTTATTAGTTCTTATTAATATACAAAAGAAACCTTTGTTCGTTACATTAAAGGTCCAGTTCAATTAAATTCTATGGTTTTATTGCAAATTCACCTGCATCTTGGTTGAATCTTGTCAATTGACAGATGCTAGCATGGAATAAATCACAGTTTTTACACTGACAGTTTTTCACTTATTGACTTAAAATCTTGCCTTCTGCTGTATCTCTACCTTTATGCATTTGGCAGATACTTTTATCCAAATCAACTTTCATTGCACTGAAAGTATTCATTTTATCAGTTCATGCATTTCTTGAGAATAAAATCCATGACTTTGGGTTCGAGTTGGCACTTTTAGTGCTCTTTTACTCTTTGAGCTACAGGAATGGTGCAGGAATAGCTTATTTACACTGCCACATTTTTAAACTTGCACCAACACAATAAGTCACAAGTCACAATGGCGTTCGGCATCATTGATGTCAAACTTGGCATGACCTGTAAGCGGACAAGTACCAGTGAACAACTACTTAATTTTTGGTCTGTACTTCACACAATGTGAGTGCAGATAAACTGGCATATAGACTAACGCTTGACCCATGTTCTGATGAATACTGGTGTCCAGGTCCAACTCAATCACTCATTATCACAGCTCTGAGGACCCAAATGAGACTGCCAAGCTCATGACAGCTGAAACTGAAGCTACGTCAAACATTTAATCAGCCTTGATCCAACCAGTTTTTGCCCGAAGGGTTCCCCATAAACATGCCAAGTTGCCATTCCTTCACTCTCCCACAGTCAATGTTTACAAATCTGTCTCCTCTGCACTTCAGCAGTCTGTTTTATCACCGTGAGCATGAATTATTTGTTTTACCTGGCCCAGGTATATCAGACAGGTTCAGCGCTGCATCTTTCCATAGAGAGCACTAACTGGAGCAACTTACTGTGGGATTTAGGCTCTGTTCCAAAACCTAGTAAGCTGTCTACTGCCTACATGGACAGCTACCTTTTAAGGGAGCATGATAACTGAACTGGAACGCACTGTGCAGGCAACAACTTGCATTATAAAAATAGCCCTCCTGATGCAAAATGTATTATCTTTATAGAGGGTTGTTTTAAATTTTGCTAAGCTAAAATCAGTGTCCTAATAAGCGCAAAATGACATTATATATACTTTTTTTTTTTTTTGGTTACTGGGTAATATAGTTAATTTCTAATTAGACTGAATTATTTTTAGTTACATTTGGTATTGAATTAAATACATTTAGAATTGACATTACAATTAATTTGGATGCATTATCCAAAAAGAAAGTATTTTAGAAGGTAGGATATTTGTACTGCATGACCTTTGCACCTAAGCACACCGGAATTTAAATAAAAAATAGATTTATGTATTTGTATTGCACATAAAACATCCATGTATTTGGATTACAGAGTTTTAACAAAAACAAATAAACTTATTGCGATGCACATTTGCCAGTCATACATAAATGAAACATTTATATACAAATATTTGCTCTATAAAAACATGGTTTATTTGCACTGAGAAAATCATGGTTTATTATTAACTATATACATATATTTAAGTTTATTTTAAATAATCATATTTCCAAATTGCATACATTTGTTCAAATCATTAAATTTATTCAGGTAAAATGTAAGAAAATGCAAATATATACCAGCAATATTCAATTAATTGTATGGGATTGAACCAAATTTGATTTGATAAATATACAAACCTGGTTATTGTACATTTAAAATTTAAAACACATTTTTAGTTTATTATTACTGTTGCCGCAATCGTATCTGTTTATTAGTTTATGTTAATGTGTAATCCAAATGGTTGGAAAATATATATGCAATTCAAATACACAAATCTTAAATTCAGGCCCCTGTTTGTGTATGTGTGATGTGTATGATGCCTACAAAAGCAGCTTGCTAGGTTTTGGAAGAGATGGGAGTCCACTGAGCACCCGTAGCCATAAAAGAAACTAGTATGCGAAAGTATGCTGTATGCAACCATAAACATTTCAAACAGCAGCACACTACATTGATTTCACATGACTCATTATGTTGCATGTTTAATTCATTTACCATCTCAGAAGTTAATACTGATATTTTGCGATCTTTAATCCAATTTTGTGCAAAAATTCCCTTATTTTTGGCAGCCTGATCAAATAATGAGTCAAGGAGGAGACGTTAAAGATGACGGATGACACCGCTTCCAGTTCATTCATCACAATGGATGGAAGGTCAAGTTGAGTGCATTTCATTGTGACACAGTTTTCCCATGCAACTCTGGTTGTATATTGCACATCAGAGTATTACATACATACAAAAAAGCTGCATGATGTTCAGAGTTTTCATACCGCTTTCTTTAAAACATTCAGTATGTCAAGAAAATCTCAATTCTACACCTGTTGTTCTTACCTGTATGCAGGAGCATCATCCACTAATTTTATTACAAGGTGGCACCGGTGGCAGTCAATGCCTAAATAAGAAAAGACGAAACCAAAGAACAAAAACACTTCATAATTATTTTCATAAGAATTAGGTGGATTGAACTAAAAGTATAATTTAGTGTACAAAGGAACAAGAGTTGAAATCCCAACCTAATGCATAACTATCACACATATGCTATCATGCTATGACTTTTTATTTTAATAAGAAATCATAGGAGTTTCAAATGACAAGAGGATTTGGGGGGGATTTCTGAAAACCCACTCATAAACATGCACTTGAAAGGTCATAGATACAAATATTTTTAAGGAAATGTGCATTTAAAGTCCACTGAGCTTAAAAAAAATAATCTCAGGGGCTTTTGAAATCTTGGATAGGCCTATATTGAAAAAGTAGAGTAGGATTTACTTGAAAAAAAGCTAGGAAAACATTTACACTTAAATGGCAGTTTCTTACAGTATATATGTCCTAAAATGCACAAAACCAGAATAGTCTAAGATCATGGGTCATGGAAAAGGGTCTGATAAATCCTTCGTCTTCTAGTGAACACAGAGAACTTAAAGAGCTGACGTTTGCACAGTTAAACACTAACGTGCAACAAGCAGGACAGCTGCATCTGTCCCATTATTAAATGGGATCAAAATGATTTCTGTTCCCAACATGATCTTGCTGACACTGTTGTTTGCGCAGTCATGACTGGACACTTCAGTCAGACAGCTGAATCAGAAAAAAAATATTTCTTAATTCCTACCAACCGCTGATTGGAATAGCTTCAGGTGTCATTTCTGTACGTTCTCCTTCATCCCTGATTCTGCCTGGAGTGTGCACTGATCTGGAATTCCTCACACTTGGGAAACGGGGAATTCCACACAGTAATACTTCAAGTTTTGCCTCCCCCCCTCACACACACCCTGTCTGCTGAGCTCACTTCCTGCTGTAGACTCTGACAACAGGAAGTAGGTAAGTGTCAGCAGGCATAATGAAGGGGCATCATCCAGGTGAGAGGCTGATTAATTGTCCCTTAACAGTATAGAGGGAAGGAACTGTTCCATAAATCAAAATACACTGTCATCATAAGCCATTATCGCCACCATGTGGTGAATGCATGAAGAATAATTTCCAAACTGAACTAGCAAAGCAACTTGAGGACAGAATTTAGAAGGAAGGATCAAACAAAACCGTCTACAAAGACATTAAGAATCATACAAGTAAAAAAAAAAAGTACCTTGCTTTTGGAGAGTTTGTGATGGCTCTCTTCATTTGAGACAATCTGCTGATGAATGTAACTTTCTTCTCTTATAAAATTTACTCTCCTCAAAAAGCATCTGAAAAATGAGAGCTGTAAAATAATCAAGTGGTATGTATAATTCAGAAAGTTCTATTTTATGGCAACAAATAGCATATGTTTGTTTAGCCCGTTCCAGAGACACCATGAACTGGACCAGGTTCCAGAGTTTAGGAAACATGTTGATCAACACCATACATTTTCCTACAAATCGCTTCAAACATTGAGGAAAAAAGAAGCAAGCGCAAAAAGAAAATGCAACAGCATGTTCCAGCTGACACTTTTATTCTTTCTGTTTCAGACAATGATAGAACAGAAAACTCTTGTTTCTTGAAACAAGCCAATCAGGTGAACACCTCAGGTGGGCAAACAGGTTGGAGACTTTCAGCAGCAGGAGAAATGATTGCTGAGGTCAAACAAAACAGTGAATTTGTGCTCTGTATGGTCTTTGTTGGGGAGCATCATTTAACATTTAGAGCATCATTTAACATTTACTTCATCAGAACTGCTTTTGATTCAACATTCAGAGGTCATGTAGGGGTAATACTCAATTAAAGCATTAAATCAATCAATTCACACCTGTTATTTGTAAATGAAATGATTATAGCTGGACACAAAAATTAAGATACTGCATGGCGCAACTGTGTGATGCAACATACATATGCATGAGGCATTGCACTGAACATTTTCAGGTTAGAAAGGTGCGCAATATAATTTTTTTGTGTTAGTCTAGCCAGATGTCTTGTTCTGAAAACATTATGTGGTAAGAACATGATCATCCAAAGGTGGAGTATAGGCAACTTCACAATGTTATAATTCACAGACAAAAAGTTGTTATACAGTATTTATTTCACAGATTAACTAAAGCTGGATTACTTCCATTTCCATCCAAGAAAGGAAACCAATCTAACACTGCAAGCGAGCAGAATGATGCAACAAAATTAAATTGCTCCCAATGAAATCGACATCAACATTTTGTTGATCATATTGGAACAATATAGTTTTGTTGAAATGCACTGCTTGTTTGCAGCATATACTTTGTGGGGGGAAAAAAATCACCAATTTCACAGAACAAAACTAATTAAAACAGGACTGATTCTTCTGCTTTCAAAAAACACCTACATATAAGGGTTTTATCTATTAGCGCTAACAAATTAAAATGGCTTAGTGAAAATAAAATAAAAACAACTGATATGACAAAAACATAAAATAGCGAAAGCATGATTTTAAAGTTTCAAATCAACTAAACATCTTCTTTTTTTTAATCATATTTAATGACCTAAACCATGGACTAACATTCATCTTTTTAACAAGGTATAATATTCTGGCCGTGCTTCTCAAGAGGATTTTTATGGGAGAGTCTATAGCACTTAAAATAATTGTAAAGTTTAAACGGTGAAGGCCTTTGGAATTGCTGCAAGGCAGAATCGTGAGGGCTGCACAGAATACTGTGAACTAGACGGAATCTTCAATCAGACGGAACACTCGGAATGTGACTGAATCTTTAACATTATTACACTTCAGCTGCCATCTTCATATGAAGAAATTAAGGGGACGATTTACAGTGATTATGGTTTCAAATATACACAAGAAGCAAATTGGTCTTGGGCTGGTAGTGAAAAAACTATTTCGCTCAAGATAACGTTCAAGTGTTGTTGTTTTTTTTTCTTTTCTTTTTTTTTAAATGGCCTCACAAAAAAATAAAATAAAATTATAATAAACCAGCACCATTGGTTTTCTATTTAAGAGTAATGCTCACAAAAAATACCCAGGATCAACTTTTACCCAAAAAGCAAAAGAAAATAAAGGAAATTATATTTTGCATTAAAAAAACAAAGCCTATTTTAATGACCTTTACCATTTTTGCTTTAATATCACTTTTTTCCCACATTATTTTGAATGATGATTAATACAATTAAACTTATTTTATACTGTATATTTTTTCATTACCATGATTACCATGTTTTAATCACCATAAATTATAATCTCTAACACAAATCAATCCATGATGTATAAATACTTTACATTCCCCCCACATTACTTTTTTTTTGTGCATTATGATAATTGGGGGAAATGGGTTTAAGTCTTTTAAAAAATCATAATGAAAAACATTTGTTCAGTCCAAAACAGGCTTCATTTACTTAATGCAAAATATACTTTCTTTAGAATTTTGAGATGAAATATGACCTGCGCAAGTTCTTGATAAGATTTAGAGATTCACCCTTAGTTCGCTTTTTAAATTATAACTGCCTTAGCACAACATCTCAATAAATGTTCTTCTAAGAAACCATTGTGGACTTGACAAAAAATCCATAATTAAAAAAAAAACATATATAAAACATGAAGCATGATATCTCTGCCATTGCTGAGGTTCCTTCTGCTCTATCCATCTTTAAACTGAGAGAAGAGCAGGCGGATCGCGTTAAGACGGGAAGAGGCCAGATCGCACAGCTGAAGTGCCGTTACTGGCTCAGCCCAGACTTCTGCTGCAGCGGGACGGGAAGGGGAGCGCAGAGCAGCCATTACTTTTTTAGTGTTTGTAAAAAGTTCCAAAGGTCTTTGATCACCTGCAAGAAAACAAATGGGGAGAGAGAGCGAGAGAGAGAGAGAGAGAGGGGAGGGGGAAAAGGATGAGTTGGTGAAGCTGGAACGGAGTTTCTCTGATGTAGCGACTCATTTGGATGCTTAATAATTAGAGCCGTGTGAGTCAGTTTGGACGAAAAGCTCCACATTAGCGGTGCGTCTGGGGTATAACTACAGCGCCGAGTCCAGAGGAAGGGGGTGCAGTCGTTGTACATACCAGAGGGTATGACTAGTGCCTCTCTCTGACAAAGACATGTCTCACACCTCTTTGCCTGCTGTGCTCCCAAAGTCGTTTTTGCTTGAAAACACACTCACACACACACACACACACACACACACATACATGCTCCACCCGTTGTACATCTGAGAGGACACCTGCGCTGCAAAGTCTGTCACGCTCCAGCCTTGTTTCTAGAACAGACTCACAGGGCGCAATGCATCAAATAGCTCATAACTCATTACCGACCAAAACACAAAAACATCTAAACTCTGTTCCAAATCCTAGTGAGCTGCCTTGCTGCATACTTTCGAAGGCAGCATCCCAACTGAAATGGGACCTCAGAAGTGATCTGGAACCGTCTTCATAGGCAGCAACGCATATAAATAGTGCTCCTCGAGCCACGCGCACAGGAGACTTGACTCAGTTGAATTGCTAACAATATGATGAGTATAAAAAATAAGAAACACAAAAATTGGATACAAAAAGTTGTAATAGTTTTAGGTATTAAATTAAATGTAAGTATATTTATAATCAACACGTTCAACGTCTTTTGGAAAAGCTGTTTCTTCTGTCTTCCCATGTCTATGAATATTGGTTCACTGATATATCGACCAGGGTCAATATTAGAGAGCAAACAAATGAAAATGGGAGAAAATGGTAGTTTCTGTGCTCCTGACACTCATCAGCCAAGCAGAAAAGCAAATGCTGATCATTTAAACTAAGGGGAAACATTGGGTGACAAGTTTTTCTGTTTACAGGACAATAATAAGTGTCGGAAGAGGGACTTCTATTTTGACAGTACTGAGAACCCTGTGCCTGAGTGCAGTCCTGTCTAATAATTGAAAGACAAACGCTATAATACATTTCTTCCATATACTGCATTCAGCAAACACGTACTTTAATACTGAACAACGTCGATCTGTCTAATAAAC